TTTTTTAGCGGTATGCGAGGCAAAATCTTAGCGATAAAATGTATTGGTATGCGGATTTAACGTTATGTAATGCCAACGGTATGCGGGGGTCCACTGTACTTTGGTTTTCGGCCATTTCAGATTTCGGCCAACCTTCTGGAACGGATTAATTACGAAAACAAAGGGTCTCCTGTATTAGTATTTTTAATACTAGTTTAAGTTTGCAAAAAATGCCTTGCATAACAATAAGCTTTTCAAAAATATGTATCAAACATACATTAATGTGATTTTTAAAAATACTGTACATTATTATTATTACTACAGTGGTCCCTCAATTATTGTCCTTAATCCGTTTCTGGAAGTGGGACTATTATTGAAACAGACGATTTTCGAATCAATTTTCCCCCTAAGAAATAATGTAAATCCAATTAATTCGTTCCAGACACCCAGAAGTATCAACAACAATTTTTTTTTACCTAAAAGATAGATTTACATGCACATAAAAATGAACATTCAACATGACAGTTACCTTTATTGAAGGCTGTTGTTGATGAATGGAAGACAGGGAGAAGGAGAGAGGGAAGAGAGGTTATTGTTTGGAAGGGAAATCCCCCTCCATAAGGACTCTAGGTCACTTCAGGGGTCACTTCCCTAGCATAAATATAGATTTACATGCAGAAAAGAATGCCAAATAAATGTTAGCACTAATAAAATGTATAAATGAACATTGGTAATAGGAGTAGTTGAGTGGAACGGTCTGCCTAGTAGGGTGATCGAAGCTGATTGGGTAGTTTCAAATTTAGACTGGATAAATACATGAGTGAGAGGGGTTGGATTTAAGTTGGACTTGCACCTGAGCTTATTGCTTGGGTAACATTTGTTCTGTTAGTGGGTTGGATTTGTGAAGGACCGGCCTAGTATGGGCCACCAGGCTAATTGCAGTGTTCCTCCTTTCTTATGTTCTAAAACCTATGGCTTAGGTAGTTTCAAATTTAGGTTGGATAAATACATGAGTGAGAGGGGTTGGATTTGAGTCGGACTTGCACCTGAGCTTATTGCTTGGGTAGCATTTGTTCTGTTAGTGGGTTGGATTTGTGAAGGACCGGCCTAGTATGGGCCACCAGGCCTACTACAGTGTTCCTCCTTTCTTATGTTCTTATTGAAGACTTGTTTGTTTGAGGGAGGGATAGCAAGTTTATTGTTGGAGAATATGACACTAATATCAACTCTATGGCTTATTTATCTATCACAATTCAACTAATATGACATAATAAACAATATTAACCCTTTGGGGGTTTTGGACGTACTAGTACATCTTACAACCCAGGGTTTTTGACGTACCTGGAGTATTTACCTGGAGAGAGTTCCGGGGGTCAACGCCCCCGCGGCCCGGTCTGTGACCAGGCCTAAATTCTAGCGCCCTCAAATCTAGTGAGAGAAAGCTGGTAGGCCTACATATGAAAGAATGGGTCTATGTGGTCAGTGTGTGCAGTATAAAAGAAATCCTGCAGCACACAGTGCATAATGAGAAAAAAAAAAACTCTGACTGTGTTTTTGGATTAAAACAGCGACTTTGCACTGTATTTTCGTATGGTATTTATTGTTGTATTCTAGTTTTCATGGTCTCATTTTATAGAATGGAAGACATATTACAGAAATTGAGATGATTTTGACTGGTTTTACAATGAAAAGTACCTTGAAATTGAGCTCAAAGTAGCAGAATTGTTCGATTTTTACCAAAGTTCAAAATTAAACAAATCATGCCAAGCGTCCAATACACATCAACTGGTGAGTCTAATATTCTTTCACAAGTGCGCTGATATTATTTATACCATTTCTACACTAATGCAGTAGTCTGTATAACACTAAATCTTATTTTTTTTTGTAAGAATAAAAATTCAAAGTGGAAAGCCAAAGAAATATAAGAGGAGCCTGGGGATGTGACTAACAAACAGAGAACTTGTTATTTTAGTGCCAGGAATGTTTTTCTTGTTTATTCTGGACCCTATTCAGAATTTGGCATATTTTGAAATTTGTGTGAAATTGGCAAAATTGCTAAATTCTGACCACTTCATTGGATAGTTGAAATCAGTAAATGGGTGGTTTCTTGTATTCATTCGATAGAAAAAATGGAGTTCTAGCGAAATAGTTATGATTTTTGTCGACTAGTACACTGGAATTGGCCGAAAATAGGGCTCAAAGTGGGCAAAATCGCCGATGCGTAAACATCGTCGAGACTGCTAACTTCGAGAGAGCATAATTCCGTAAGTTTTCCATCAAATTTCATACTTTTGGTGTCATTATGATCGGGAAAAGATTCTCTATCTTTTCACAAGAAAAAATAATTTTTTTTTTTTTTGGAAATTTGGCCGACCCTGAGAACAAGTCTGTGAGAGAACCTGTCGACCCCAAAGGGTTAATAACATAGAAACATGGAATATACTCTAGAATTAATAAAATAAGTCATTACGTATGTCACGAGAGGTGTTGTGTTGTTGTTGGGTATATAAGGGCCACTGAGAGTAAGCCGTACATAATGGTGGTGAAGCAGCAGCTGAGGCCGTGGTGTTTTCTGTAGCCCTATATAACTCCAACAACATTGGAGGAGTTGGTAGAATTGCTGAATCACTAAAGAAGGCACCCTCTACCACCATCACTACCACCTTCTACCACTATTACAACTGCTACCACCTTCTACCATTATTACAATTGCTACCACCATCACTATCACCTTCCACCACTATTACAAGTTACACCACACTACACCCTACCACAACACACTTCCACACTGCTTCCATCTACCACCACCACCTTTGTATTTTGCTACAAACTTTTTCATAAATTATATGTGTTTCTCACATTCTTTACCAAAGGGCTGGCACTAGAAGCTTTCTTTGGAGCCATGGTAGCTTATTTAGCACTTGCAAGCACTAAAATCAATGAAATATTATGAAATATTTCGTAGGAGCAAGTGAGGGGACCATCGCTCACTGGTAAACAATGGCCCACTGGCTGGGAAGGCAGGCCCAGGCAGCTCAGAGCGTGAGTATGCGTCCTGGACAAAGGACGATTAGTGAGTTAACGGACCATTTGTGAGCCAATGTTTAGACGAAATAACGGGACTATTTCCAAAATGGACGACTTTCAGGCCGGACGATTATTGAGGGACCACTGTATTATTATTCAACAGCCTGCATTCTGAAGGAGTGAGAATGTGGCAATCGGAGAGTATCATAATCCAACTGTGAAGTTAGTACAGTTCTGGATGAATGAGTGAATGCTGGTGAATGTGTTTCCTTCCTTGGGTCACCCAGCCTTGGCAGGAGACAGCCATTAAGTTAAAAATTATTTAAAATCTATAGAAAATAAATATGTATTAGGTAGCAGTTTGATAGACCGCATCCACCCAGGAAGGTACTACCGTCCTGCCAAGTGAGTGTGTAATGGAAACTTGTAATTGTTTTACATGATGGCAGGATTAATGGTGTCTCTTTTTCTGTCTCATAAACACAAGGGATAACAGGTACAGTGGTACCCTGAGTTTCAAACTTATTTCATTCCGGAATGCTGTTCGAGTGCCAATACCGAATGAATTTGTTCTCCTAAGGCATAGTGTAAATTAGATTAGTCCATTTCAGACTCCCAAAAATTAACTTACAAATGCACTTACAAAATACACTTACATATTTGAGTTGCGAGCAGTTCGAAACTCGGGGTACCACTGTATATCTTGCTACTTCTAGTTACCCTTAGGTCATACTACACATGCATGTACACTCATATACATACATTTGCACACCTATCTGGGTTTCCTTCTATTTTCCTAATAGTTCTTGGTCTTTATTTCCACTGGGAAGTAGAAAAGAATTCTTCCTCCTTGCGACATACGTGTATAAGGGGCTACTAAAATGCCAGGAGCAAGAGGCCTGGCACCCATCTCCAACATAAATTACAAATTTATAAATTTATAGAAATTTTTAGAAAATTTTGTTTTTCTTTTTAGGTCACCCTGCCTCGGTGGGATACGGCTGGTTTGTTGAAAAAATAAAATAAATGTACAATTTAAGCAGATCAGATTGTGTTTGTTCCCCTTAATTTCATTCCAAAATATAACAAGCATAAGATAAGAAGCAGATGTTATGTTTGAGGGCAATGTGTGGTGTGAATATGTAGTTCGAAGATTAGGTGGTGCGGGGTTACTAAAAGTATTATCCGGAGGTGCTGAGAAAGGGTTGTTGGGGTGGTTATGAAATTTAGAGAATACAGAGCAAAATAGGATAACTTGAGTGTAAAAATCTGCAGTGGAGAGAAAGGGGAGGGGAGGGGGGAGGGTAAAAGATTTTGTACGTGAGGGGCTTGGGCATCCAACAGGTGTGTGTGTGAACATGTTACATAGTAGTTAGTGGAGGCAAGTGATTTTTATGACCCGACATGCTGTTGGAGCATGAGCAAGGAAACTTTTATGAAGGGATTCAGGAAATCAGTGAGCCAGACTTGAGTTCTGGAGGTGGGAGTACAGTGCCTGAACTCTGAAGAAGAGATGGGGATATCTGCAGTTATATATTGTAGTATCAGCACCCCTCTGCAAGAAAGTGATGGAGCTAGTAATGGTGAAAGTGTTTCTTCTTTTTTGGATCACCCTTCCTTGTTTGGAGACAGTCAGTTTGTTGAAAAAAAAAAAGTGAATGAGATCTATGTTAAATATACCTTAGAATAAGAGAAACTGGCAAAAATGTTTTATTGCTAGCTAATAAGCTAGCAAGTCTCACGCTATAGTAGATAACCTAGTCAGTCACACACCATGGTAGATTATCTAGTTAGTCACACACCATTACAGTTTGGTTGGCTAGCGACACATTCTCCTAACTTACTCAGCTAGGTTCATAAACCCCTATAACTCATCTGACCAACAGCACAAATATTCTTTGAAATTTACATAACTAGTCCAGCAAATCTCGTAACTCACCTGTCCAGTCTAACAAATCATAACTCACCTGATCAGTCTTGTAAATTCTCATAAGACACCTGCCCAGTCCCACAAAGCCTCATAATTTGCCTGGCCAGCCACATGCAACTAATCTAACCTGTTACCTCCACTTTTAACTTAACTTGATCTCTGAAGCAACCAAGTTTATTCTTTTAGCTCACCTTATCCTCTGGATCTGTATGGGACTGCCCTATAGTAAAGCCCAAGTCTGGATTCTTCTCAATCACTACCGGGAACTGCGGGAAAAACATTAGCACTAAATGTGTAGTACTATGCAGGTACTATAAATGCACAAGTGAAAGCTTGATATTTCAATTTTTACATACAGCACATCCCTTAAAGAAAATATTTTAAAAGAATGATAAACAAGAAGACTGAAAAATTAAACTAAATAGAGGGATGCTCCAATTTGTGGAATCAAGAGCCCTTCACCAGCATCAGGGCACCTTTTAAAAGGAAGACAATTAATAGTTGAAGGAAAGACACAAACTAAAGTATAAAATGTAGGAAATAAAATTATAAAATTAAATAAAAAATTTCAGGTTCAGGAAGGGCAATTAAAAAATACTAAATGCAAATAAATAGCTATAAGTGAATCAAAGTTGAGCCTCATCAGTTTTTGCTACTGTAGTAATATATGTGACATTATTAAACAAATTATGAAGAGCTGGACTAAAACACAAAATGAGATATTAAATTAAGTGTTACAGAAGCCAAGGCCATTATAAAGGCAATCCTTCAGTAGAGTTTACATAAACTTGGCTATGTCATGGGACATGATAATATTCACATAAACCTTTGTGAGCCTGTTTTATACTGAGCTGGCAACTGAAGATGAAGCTCATACTCAGTCGCTCCTATGTAAGCTGAACGAGGGACCGAACCTTACAATCTAAAATTGAGCAATTTCTACCTGTTACTCCAGCACCATGGCCCCTTCAAGAACCCATTAATCTTGACCTATGTAATGGAAAACCCCTATTACCAAAGACTTGGTAACAGTACCATTGTTCCCTTCAATGTATAATATTTACTACAGGAAGGAGAGGGGGCAAGAAATATGCTAACCCTTTAACCCTTTGACTGTCGCAGCCGTATATATACGTCTTACGAGGTATCGTGTTTGACGTATATATACTCATAAATTCTAGCGGCTTCAAATCAAACAGGAGAAAGCTGGTAGGCCCACATGTGAGAGAATGGGTCTGTGTGGTCAGTGTGCACCATATAAAAAAAATCCTGGAGCACGCAGTGCATAATGAGAAGAAGAAAAAACTCCGACCGTTTTTTTTAATTAAAATGCCGACTTTGTGGTCTATTTTCGTATAGTATTTATGGTTGAATTCTCGTTTTCTTGGTCTCATTTGATAGAATGGAAAACATATTATAGAAATAGAGGTGATTTTGATTGATTTTACTATAAAAAGAACCTAGAAATGGAGCTCAAAGTAGAGGAAATGTTTGATTTTTGCCAATGTTCAAAAGTAAACAAATGATGCCATTGTCCAATAAATGTCCAACAAGCCATTCTAATATGCAGTCATGAATGGGTTGATGTTATTTATACAATTATTACAGTATTGCAGTAGTCTGCATAATAGTAAGTCTTCTATTTTTTATTTGAATAAAAATTCAAAATAGAAAGCAAGAGTAATATCAGAGGGGCCTGGAGACATTACTGATGAGCAAAGAAAATGTTATTTTAGAGCCAGGAATGTCTGCATTGTTCATTCTAGACCTTATTTTGAAATTGTCATATTTCTTAGTTTTCATGAAATTGGCCAAATTGCAAATTTCCGACCACATTATTAGGTAGTTGAAATCGGTAAATGGGCAGTTTCTTGTACTCAATCGATAGAAAAAATGGAGTTCTAAAGAAACAGCTATGAGTTTGGGCGACTGGAACAATGGGATTAGCCGAAAATAGGGCTCAAAGTGGGCGAAATCGCCGATTTGTAAACAGCGCCGAGGTCGCTAACTTCGCGAGAGCATAATTCCGTCAGTTTTCCATCAAATTTCATTTTTTTTGGTGTCATTACAATCGAGAAAAGATTCTCTATCATTTCATAAGAAAAAATTATTTTTTTTTTTTTAAATTTTGCGACACCAGGAGATACCTCAGGATTGGGGGTTGCGACAGTCAAAGGGTTAACTGTATCAAACCTGAAATTGAATTTTTTGCATGTGGTAAAAGTTAGAGAAAAAAAATCTTAACACAGTGAAAGAGTGTATTTTTATGAATAATACTAAAATGAGTAGAATTTAACAAAAAACAAAACAAAACAAAAAATGTGATTTTACAGTGTGATGAAGTTGGCAAAAAAATATGATCCCAGGATTAACAGGTCCAGCATTTAACCAGTTCTAGCCCCCCATCCACCTTTCTGTTCATACATTTACAACTGTTCATTACGACTTGAATGAAGTTCAAACTGTAATAAATTTGGAACAAATAAGTTATCTTCCTGCCAGTTCCAGACCCCACTTGCTGAAACAGAAGCTGATGGTGGAACATAAGAACATAAAGAACACTGCAGCAGGCCTACTGGCCCATGCAAAGCGGGTCCAAGTCTACTACCGGCTTGATCCAATGATCCAACCTAGTCAGGTCAGGTCACATCTACTTAACCCCTTGACTGTCGCAACCCCAAATCCTGAGGTGTCACCTGGTGTTGCAAAATTTCCAAGGAAAAAAAAAAATTTTCTTATGAAATGACAGAGAATCTATTCCCAATTGCAATGAAACCAAAAGTACAAAATTTGATGGAAAACTGACGGAATTACGCCCTCACAAAGTTAGCTACCTCGGCGATATTTACGCATCGGCGATTTTGCCCACTTTGAGCCCTATTTTTGGCTAAATCCATTGTTCCAGTCGACCAAACTCATAGCTATTTCTTTAGAACTCCATGTTTTCTATCGATTGAGTACAAAAAACTGCCCATTTACCAATTTCAACTACCCAATAATGTGGTCAGAAATTTGCAATTTGGCCAATTTCACAAAAATTAAAAATATGACAATTTCAAAATAGGGTCCAGAATGAACAATGCAGACATTCCTGGCTCTAAAATAACATTTTCTTTGTTCATCAGTCACGTCTCCAGGCCCCTCTGATATTACTCTTGCCTTCTATTTTGAATTTTTATTCAAACAAAAAATAGAAAATTTACTGTTATGCAGACTACTGCAATATTGTAATATAATTGTATAAATAATGTCAACCCATTCATGACTGCATATTAGAATGGCTACTTGGACATTTATTGGAAAATGACATCATTTGTTTACTTTTGAACATAGGCAAAAATCAAACATTTCCTTTATTTTGAGCTCCATTTCAAGGTTCTTTTCACAGTAAAATCAATCAAAATCACCTCTATTTTTATAATATGTTTTCCATTCTATCAAATGAGACCAAGAAAGCGAGAATACAACCATAAATACCATATGAAAATAGACCACAAATTCGGCATTTTAATTAAAAAAAAAAAAAGTCAGGAGTGTTTTTTTATTCTCATTATGCACTGCGTGCTCCAGGATTTTTTTTTATATGGTGCACACTGACCCATTCTCTCACATGTGGGCCTACGAGCTTTCTCCTGCTTGATTTGAAGCTGCTAGAATTTATGAGTATATATACGTCAAACACTGTGGCTTGTAAGACGTATATATACAACCGAAACAGTCAAAGGGTTAAAGAAGGAGCACGGCATCAGACCCACTAGCACAAAGTAGTCAGGTCCAACTCACATCCACCCATACCCACTCATGTATTTATCTAACCTATTTTTAAAACTACACAATGTTTTAGCTACTATGACGGTACTCGGGAGCTTGTTCCACTCATCCACAACTCTATTACCAAACCAGTGCTATCCTATATCATTCCTGAATCTGAATTTTTTTTAACTTAAAACCAATGCTGCGAGTCCTGTCTAAGCTAGATATTTTTAGTAAACTATTTATATACCATTATTTTTTCTACGCTTTTCTGAGAGTGCAGATTCAGGGCCCTCAGCCTATCCTCATAGGGAAGATTTCTGATACAGGGGATCAACTTTGTCATCCTCCTTTGTATATTTTCCAGTGCATTTATATGCACTCTGTAATATGGTGACCAAAATTGTGCACCATAATCTAAATGAGGCCTAACCAAAGATATATAGAGTAGAAGAACAACCTGAGGACTCCTATTATTTATGCTTCTTGATATGAAGCCAGGGATTCTGTTTGCTTTACTGTGAACACTTATGCACTGTTCTCTTGGTTTTAGATTACTGCTAATCAAATTCCCAAATCCTTTTCAAAATCAGTAATATTAAGAACTACATTATTTAGTTCATATGTGGCATGGTTATTTTCCCATCCAATGTTTAGAACTTTGCATGTCTATACTAAACTGCATCTGCCACTTCTCCGACCACTGCATCAGTCTATTCAAATTTTCCTGGAGTGCTCTAATGTCCTTGTCAGAATGAATTCGATGGCCTATTTTGGTGTCATCAGTAAACTTGCTTATGTTGCTGTTTATTCCCTCATCTATGTTGTTTATGTAGATTGTGAACAAGGGGCCCAACACTGGCCCCTGTGGAACACAGCTTGTGACGCGTCCCCACTCAGATTTCTCCCCATTTATGCAAACTCTCTGCTTCCTGTCTGTCAACCACGCCTCTACCCAAGAAAAAAATTCTCCTCCTATTCCGTGTGCCTTAATTTTCCTCAATAGTCTCTGATGCAGGACTGTCAAAAGTCTTACTTAAGTCCATATACACAATATCACATTCATTATCATGATCTACCTCCTCAAATACCTTAGTGAAAAAAGTTAATAAATTCGTAAGGCTGGAATGCCCTTTTGTAAAACTGTGCTGAGACTCATTAATCAATTTATGCCTTTCAAGATGGCTACGAATTGCCTTGGCAATTGCTGATTCCATAAATTTTCCTACTATGGAAATATAGACTTATTGGTCTATATTTCGAAGTGAAGGACCTGTCACCTGCTTTGAAAATAGGTACATACATATAACATTTGCCATTTTCCACGTATCTGGCACTATGCCAGTTTGTAGTGATATGGTGAAAAGATCAGCCAAAGGTTTGCTAAGCTCCTCTTTACATTAATAATAATAATAATAATAAAGTTTATTTCTTTGTAAAAAAAAGGCTACAATGTGTAATTACAATTTTGATTTGCTAAGTACAAAGATAGCCACTATCAGATATTGATGAA